GGGAAGGAGGCAGGTTGTGTAGCTTGCTTGAAAGGTCCGCGAAACTTGCCCATAAAAAATTTTGGAAAGAGTGCCTATGCGCGCAGAAGTAAAAGCACAGCTGCCTGGATCGGTGCACGCGGCAGTGTTCGAAGAATCGGTGGCCGTGGTCAAAAAATCGTTTTGTTGCGCCGGCAGGTATCAGTGGCCTCACTAACTTCGTTATTTAGGGATTCGTTCCATGCAAATTCTTTCCGTGCAAAGTCCCGTTCTCTCGGGACGTTTCGCACGCGTGCATCAAGGAGCGAGCCAGATTTTCTCCGGGACAGTTTACGGTGAGCACCCATTCCCTTTTCCATCCGTCGACTCCCATTGTTTGGGTCTCGTCGAACTTCGCTGACGGCGCCTCGCACCCGAGGCAAACTCTCACTTTTTGTTGCCTCTTTGGGTACGCTCGGCCGAAGGGCGATACGGTAACTGTCCTAGTGCGTGGCCAAGCTAAGCCGACCCGTATCTCTCCGAAGCCAACACGAGCGCCTTTGCCCTCGCTCGAGCAACTGGACCTTTGTCCCGATGTCTCCGTGATTGTGGGTGCACCCCCCTCTTTGATCAGTGCTCTATATTGGCAAGGCACAGGGAGCAACTTACCCGAGAAATTATCAAAGCAGAAAAAATACACGTGATGGGAGATAAATGTGTAAGCACTTCATCAGTTGCTTTATCCCAGGCTGAACGCGATTACCTGGCTGGGCTTTGAGGCATTAGAGGACCTGCCACACGTGCCGTTACTGGTGTGTAGATTGGGCTTGTTTTTTACATTCAAGCTCTGTAATCTTCCTTTTTAGACGTATAAATTCTTGCCACTCTGCGAAATAAAGTTAGTTGGAAGTCAGCGCTCTTTCTGTCTACCCTGTCCTTTTTTCCTTTGTTCGCGCGCTGAAACACCTTGCAAATATGAATACGCACCAACTAGCCCAAGCTTCCACTCTTGTGAAAAAAGAAGCACGTTGCTCCTTTGATCATCATCATCATCATCAGCCTGACTACGTCCACTGCAGGACAAAGGCCTCTTCCATGTTCCGCCAGTTAACCCCGTCCTGTGCTTGCTGCTGCCAATTTACACCCACAAACTCCTTGATCTCATCTGCCCACCTAACCTTCTGTCTTTCCCTAACACGCTTGCCTTCTCTGGGAATCCAGTTAGTAACCCTTAACGACCAACGGTTATCCTGTCTACGCGCTACATGCCCGGCCCATGTCCATTTCTTCTTCTTAATTTCAGCTATGATATCCTTAAGCCCGGTTTGTTCCCTAATCCACTCTGCTCTCTTCTTTTCTCTTAAGCTGACACCTACCATTTTTCTTTCCATTGCTCGCTGCGTCGTCCTCTATTTAAGCTGAACCCTCTTTGTAAGTCTCCAGTTTTCTGCTCCGTAGCTAAGTACCGGCAAGATACAACTGTTATATACCTTCTTCTTGAGGTATAGTGGCAATCTATCTGTTAATATTTGAGAGTGCTTGCCAAATGTGCTCCACCCCAATTCTTATTCTTCTAGTTACTTCAATCTCGTGGTTCGGCTCCGCGGTTATTACGTGCCCTAAGTAGGCATAGTCTTTTACAACTTGAAGTGCAGTATTACCTATCTCGAAGCGCTGCTCTTTTCCAAGGTTGTTGTACATTACTTTCGTTTTCTGCAGATTCATTTTAAGACCCACCTTTCTGCTCTCCTTGTCTAACTCCGTAATCATGAATTGCAATTCGTCCCCTGAGTTACTCAGCAATGCAATGTCATCGGCGAAGCGCAGGTTACTAAGGTACTCTCCATTAACTCTTATCCCTAACTGTTCCCATCCTAGGCTTCTGAAAACCTCCTGTAAGCACGCGGTAAATAGCATTGGGGAGATTGTGTCCCCCTGCCTTACACCCTTTTTGATTGGTATTCTGTTGCTTTCTTTATGAAGCACTATGGTAGCAGTTGATCCCCTGTAGACTTCTTCCAGGATGTTTATATATACTTCGACGCCCTGATTCCGCAGTGTCTGCATGCCGGCTGATATTTCTACTGAATCAAACGCCTTCTCGTAATCTATGAAGGCTATGTATAGTGATTGGTTATATTCTGAGCATTTCTCTATTGCCTGATTGATAGTATGAATGTGGTCTATTGTTGAGTAGCCTGTTCTAAGAAAAATCCTGCTTGTTCCTTTGATTGATTGAATTCTAATGTCTTCTTTACTCTGTTAGCAATTACCTTTGTAAACAGCTTGTATACTACAGAGAGCAAGCTAATCGGCCTGTAATTCGTCAAGTCCTTGTCATATCCTTTCTTATGTTTTAAGATGATGTTAGCATTCTTCCAAGACTCTGGTACTCTTCTTGTCAGGAGACAACTCGTAAACAAGGTGGCTAGGTTTTCTAACACAATCTGTCCTCCATTTTTCAGCAGATCTGATGTTACCTGATCCTCCCCAGCAGCTTTGCCTCTTTGCATGCTCTCCAAAGCTTTTCTGACTTCTTCTATGATTACTGGTGGGGTGTCACCTAGGTTACTGCTAGTTCTTATAGTATTAAAGTCGTGGTTGTTCAGGCTACTGTACAAAACCTGAACTTAACAATGTTTAACGCTAGAACCTTATCTAGTGAGGGAAGCCTTGCTGTACTATTGGCGGAGCTAGAGGGTGTTAAATGGGATATAATAGGGCTCAGTGAGGTTAGGAGGACAGATGAGGCTTATACGGTTCTACAGAATGGGCACGTCCTTTGCTATAGGGGCTTGGCTGACAGAAGAGAACTGGGATTGGGGCTCTTAATTCACGGAAACATAGCTGGCAACATAGAGGAACACGATAGCATTAATGAAAGGGTGGTAGGTATCGTAATTAAACTGAATAAAAGATACAAGATGAAGGCGGTACAGGCTTACGCGCCTACATCCAGCCATGATGACGCATCAGTTGAAAGCTTCTATGAAGACGTGGAATCGGCAATGAGTAAGGTAAAAACACAGTATACTATACTGATGGGAGACTCTAATGCAAAGGTAGAGAAGAAGCAGGCTGGGGACCAGGCAGTAGGAGACTATCGCATCGGCACTAGGAACGCCAGAGGAGAGCTACTAGTAGAATTCGCAGAACGCAATAATTTACAAATATTGAATACCTTCTACTGAAAACGAGGAAACCGCAAGTGGACATGGAGGAGCCCTAATGGCGAAAATAAGAACGAAATAGACTTTATAATGAGTGCACACCCAGGCATCGTGCAGGATGTGGAAGTGGTTGGCATGGTACGATGCAGCGACCATAGAATGATACGGTCTCGAATTCGCCTAGACTTGAAGAAGGAACGACAGAAACTGATACGCAAGAAGCCAATCAATGAGCTAGCACTGAGAGGGAAAGTAAAGGAATTCAGAGAGTCGCTGCAGAACAGGTTTTCGGCTCTTAGTGAAGAAACCAACCTTAGCGTAGATACAATGAATGATAATCTGACTAGTATCATTACGGAGTGTGCAGTGGAAGTTGGAGGCAGGGTAGTTAGACAGGAAACTGGCAAGCTTAACCAGGAAACGAAGAATCTCATTAATAAGCGTCAAATCATGAAAGTCTCAAGTACAACAGACAAAATAGAACTGGCAGAGCTTTCGAAGTTGATTAATAGGCGTAAGGTATCCAATGTAAGAAAGTATAACATGGAGAGAATTGGACACGCTCTGAAAAACGGAGGAAGTGCCAAAGCAGTGAAGAGGAAACTTGGGATAGGCAAAAATCGGATGTATTCACTAAGGGACAAAGAAGGCAAAATAACTACCAATATGGATAGGATAGTTAAAATAGCGGAGGAGTTTTACAGAGATGTGTACAGTAGCTCCTTTGATACCAAACTCCAAATCACGGATTGGAGGCTTTCGTGTGAATTCTCAGTTTTGCCTTGCTGGCATCTTGCCTCGCTGCCGCACCACTTGACTACAAAAAACTCTCAATTTTTCGCGCTGTTGCCGACACTGACGAAAGATCCTCAAGCGTCGTGGTAGTCTCCCAAGTGTAAACGTCGCGAACTTCACTGGCACCGATCACATCAGTGTCTACCCGCACACGGCCGGAGCCGAAATCGCGCGCACTGTCAGGGAGGCCCGTGTGTACGCGCACATCATCATTGCCGATAGCATCGATGCGGTCATAATTGACAGAGTGTCTGCTATCCGGGGAAGCCATCTCCCACACTGCTCCATTGAAAACATCTTCAGTACACAGACGGCCAGCTTCCACGCCGCGCACGCACCAAGAACCGTTTTCGGTTACGATGGCGTTATCAAACAACGTCGGCGCTTGCTCCCGCGACACAGTACCAGCACCACTGGGCTTTCTGCATCTGCTTTTCTTCAGTGAACGGCCAAAATAATGCTGCGATCAGAACTTTTTCGCACCGCCGGGCATAGCGAGACGCACAAGCACGTTAGGGATATGAGTCACGACAACTTCGCAAGGGCAATACCCTTTCAAAATGGCGGCAGACACTGCCAGCGAGTTTTCCTGGCCAATCAGGAAACGCCATTTTGGTCACATGCGTCAAGCAACCAATGGAATCACGCATTGCACGTGATTTTGAATTTGTTTTTTTTTTGCTTTTGCGAGGGACACATAGTAATCTACTGGAAAAGAAAAAAGTCAGAAACGCGACCGTTCCAACAAGACCAAAATGGTTCTGATGGAGCGCGTAGTTCGCTTTCTGTGAATGATTGAAGTTTGACTAGTTTACACTTCAATTTAAAGGTCCGCTTGCGTGAAGTTGCTCTATTTATGGGTTAAAACTTAAGAAATAAGTGGAATTTTGAAGCCAAACTTTACTGACAGGCGCAGAAGGGCATCCGGAATGCGAAAATGACGAGAGAGAAAATGAGATTTTTGGGCCAATTTTCGACTTCTAAGTGCCATGTCCCTTTTAATTAGAGCCCAGCAACAATCCTACTGAGGTTAACAAAAAAAGAACGAACTGCACTACATGCATAAGGCGCACTCACCGACGCAGTTGTTGACCCAGGGGCAGTGGTGATCGAAGCGAGCCACACAGTGGTTGCACACCGAGCAATGCTTGGAGCGCAGCGGTCGACGCACGAGGCAGGTGCTGCAGAACACCGCCGGATCGAAGCCATCTTGCTCGGCCAGCTGGACTATTGTCTGCACATACGTAAACTCTTCACAAGAATGTGTTCACAATAAAGGAAGTGCCCAATGTGCATGCTGTCTCCTCACCCTGTACTTCTGCTCCATGTTGGCGCTAACGATACCTGGGTCTGCCCGCCACGACTTGTAGAAAGAGTAGAACAGTGGCACAGATGAGACCACAAAGCCCATGTTGACCCAAAAGGTTCCAACATCTTGATGCAGCACAAGTCAAGGTTATACACCAATTGGGAGCACCAACCATTGCCATGCTGCAACAGTCATGGCATCGCAAGGCAGCGGTAGTTTTGGCGTCACATCTGCTTCCCTTACACATAATATGTGTATACAAGTAGCATCGTATGTTGAAAATGTAAGTACAATTATGACATGAAAAATAGCCTTTTATCTCCCAATTTTAGAAATTATTATTCCAAATAAGTACTGCAACACTTACTGGCAACTAACAATCCTTTTAAACGAATTGTGCTCGTCAAAGCCCTCAGGTGGCATAAAAACTTATATACAGTCAAATCTTGTAATAGCAAACCTCAGAGTAATAATTTTTTTTAAACAACCTTTTCAAAAATCTCCCTCCAAATGTCCATTGGCTTCATGCAAAAATATTTTACTACCACGAATTTCAGAATACCGAATGTTTCACAATAACGTATCGATTTTTATTCCCCTAAAATCTTCCTAACACTTCAAAATAACAAATAGCGATTTTAAAAATTTTACTCGTGGCTGTAAAAAGGATGCCCACCTGTCTTTATCATCAGAACGCCCGCGTATTTCTATAGTGCCTAGAATATTGCCACAGCTCGACCATCGCAAAAGACGCGTGCCACAATCCGGGTTCGTGAAAGCCGCCAAGCAAGTAGCAAGAAAGCCGCGCCATGGAACGCCGTCCTGCACGCGCAACGATTCTATGCCACGGGACCGGCACGAGACTTGAGGGGCAGATGAAGAGACCGACGAAGTTGGAGTCAGCGAGCAAGAGCCACTTTTTGGCTGCCCATATTTAGTTTTGAATTTACGGGCACAAGTTCGCCCTGAATAAAGAGTTTATATAGTACCAGGTGCTATATTTATTCGTAACAATCTGGTGGAGGTGCGGAGTATGATTCCAAGCCCACCACAGGCAAGGGAGAGAAGCCCAGATCCCAGAAGATTGGAGCCAACAGAATTAACACCTGTGCACCAATGCACGAGTCGCCGACTACGTGGTGAGCAGCCCGAGTTTGGCCTCCTAATTGATCCATTAAGACCTGTTGAGACCTCAAGCACAAGCGTCACTGCCACCCAGTTGATGCCATCTCCATCTCACCTCATTGTGGATTCGCCACGTACACCAGAGGTCTTCCACAGTGAGACCTTTAAAGAAGGCTTCGGCTTGAAGGCTTCGAGCGCGTTGCACACTTGAATGGTTGGGATGAAGCCCGAAAACTTCGTTACGTTTATGTCGCTCTGCAAGATTCGGCACGTACTTGGTTTGAGAACCACGAAGCGTCCCTGCTGTCATGGGACGACTTCCCACGAGAGCTAATCGCAACCTATCTGAACATGGACCGCAAAGAGAAGGCAGAGGCTGCTCTTCAGGCGAGGAACCAACGGAATAACGAGAGCGTGGCCATTTACATAGAAGACATGTCGCGGCTCTTCCGCCGAGCCGACCAAAACATGGCCGAGGAGAAGAAGTTGCGGCACCTAATGCGCGGAGTAAAAGAAGAAATTTTTGCAGGCCTGGTGCGTAATCCACCGCGAACAGTAGCGGAGTTCCGGTCCGAGGCAACGACCATGGAAAGGACACTACAACAACGTGCGCGACTGTACAACAGAGACTTTAGCGTCTCTTCAGTCAGGGCGGAGTCAACAGCCCTCCCCACCAACGTTGACCTCTTCCGGGAAATGATGAGGGCTATCGTTAAGGAGGAGCTCCAGAAACTGCAACTCCCCCAAAGTCCTTCAGCGATGCCCTCAGTCGCGGACGTTGTACGTGAAGAAGTGCGGCAAGCAATTATTCAACCACAGCCTCAGGTGCCACACCACACGCAACCGGAACCCCAGCCACAGCATTCATACCCGCAAGTTGTGCGGCAAGACATCAGACGCCCAAACTTTGCACAAGCTCCCGTTATGCCACCGACCTTTCCTTGCAGTACGCCACCGCCGTTGCCAGAAGCGAGACCCCGCAAAAGTGATGTATGGCGCACGGCAGACCGGCGGCCCCTCTGCTACCACTGTGGGGAGACAGGTCATCTTTATTGGACATGCCACTACCGTCGGGTCGGTCTACGTGGCTTCCCAGTGAATGCACCCTGCCCTTTAACGGTGAGCGCCCTTACGAAATCGAAGAATTTTTATCGTCGCACTATGCCTCTCCAAACCCTCAGCGACATGAGTCGCGGTCGATTGCACCAATGCGAAATAGGTCGCCGAGTCCACACCCATCATCTTCTTTCCCGAGGCGTCGTTCACCAAGCGCGCGACGGGAAAACTAGAACCAGCGACCTGTGGAGGTAGGGCTGCTGATTTTCGGAAAACTGAAAACTCTCCATCGTTAACCGGATCAGACGACGACACTGACAGAATGACGGACAAGCACAGTAATGGTGACGTGAAATCCGAGCTACAAGTCAGAATCTACGGCGTCGAAACCATAGCGTTAATAAACACAGGTGCAGACTACTCAGCAATAAGTAGCATGCTTGCAAAGAAGCTGAAGAAAGTGCTCACTCATTGGACCGGACCGCAGATACGCACCGCCGGAGGGCACTTAGTCAGCCCCGTAGGATTGTGCACAGCGAGAGTGGGAATAAGAGACCATGTGTATGTCTGCAGTTTTAGTGTTCTCCCCGAATGTTCCCGTAAGGCAATTCTGGGCACGGACTTCCTGCAAGCAAACAGTGCCATCATCGACTTGCAGAAATCCCAAGTTTCTTTCTCTACAGAGAACGCTGTTGCCGTGTGTCATGCGGAGCAACCAATTGTTTCGTCTCTTCGTATTGTGGATGAAGGTGTGACAGTGCCGCCACGTAGCAGCGTGACAGTTTCTGTGAAAAGCGACGTTTTTCGTGAATATGCCGGACTAGCTGATGGAAATATCGAACTGCTACTCACAAAGGGGATACGCGTGGCGAGAGGTCTAGTGAACCTGCGGAACAGACATACTGATGTGCTATTGACTAACTTTACCAACGAGGTACAGCACGTGGCGAAGGGAGCAGCCATAGCATCACTTCATGACTACGTACAAGTCTCAGATGTTTTCACCATAGGAAAAGTACCCACAACGCCCTCAACAGTGGACAGTGTCCTCGAGAAAATAGATATTGACCGAGAGCTTTAATCTCTGCAGAAGGACCAGATTGTGGAGTTGATCAAGGAATTTGCAGAGTGTTTTTCCTTTTCATTGAAAGTCAGACGTACTCCTGTAGCAAAGCACCGCATTTTAATCGAAGGGCATGTTAGACCAGTATGTCAGCATCCATACCGAGTAGCTCCAAAAGAAAGGTATGATGATGATGATGTTTTATGTTTTGTGGCACAAGGGCCATTTCACGACCAAAGAGCGCCAGTCCGTGTTACTAAAAATATGGACAATGATTGTGATAAGCGACTATATAAGGGCCATAAAATTCCTCGCGGTAAGGCAGGTAAAAACATACAAGTAATAAAATCATGACAATGCCGTGAAAGGTGTGTGTGTGGTGTGAATAAGCGACAAAAGTTGGTGATAATGAAAAACGGCGGTGGACATGTATGGCATTAGCACAAGTACCTCACTCGTTCATACCCTTGCGTCCAAGGGCCGTGAGGCAAGTGCTTTTTTGTGTAGCCACCGCAGCGAAAACCTCTCTGGAGAGGTCGTGCTATGGAATGCCCGGGTATATGAAATGAAAATTATGAATTTCTTTTAAAAACGCTAACAATGATTTATGACTAAAAAGCGGTTCCCTACCGACGAACATTGCAGGGTGTAAAGGTATATGTTGTCGGTAGGGTAATGAAAAATGTTGTTTTCTTAGAGTTTCTAAGTGTTTGCACTGGATTAACATGTGATGGACTGTTAATGCTTCAACACACCTGTCACACAATGGTGGATCGCCACCGGACAAAAGATATGTGTGTGTCTTGTATGTGTGTCCTATCCTGAGTCTTGTTAGTATTACTTCTGTATGACGCGATTTTGATACTGGCAGCCAATGATCAAGGTGTGGCTTTATAATGTGTAGTTTGTTTTGTGTGTGTGTATCCCACTTGCTCTGCCAGTAGTCCCTGAGGTTTCGTTTGAGAGACGGCTTAAGATCAAGGGCGGGGATTGATATGGGTGTAAGGGCAGTGCTTTTGTGGACGGATGCAGCGAGCTGATACGCCCTCACGTTGCCTTGGATCTCACGGTGCTCTGGCACCCAGCACATGTTGTTTGAGTGTGTAGAGTGTGCACAAAATGGAGTGATGTGAGACAAGGACTGGGTTTTTTTGTTTTTTAAGAGTGTGCAGAGCCGTTACCACACTGAGGGAGTCCGCATAAATTACTGCTTTTTGTATTTGTAATTGCTTGATGTGTTTAGTCGCCACAAGTATCGCATAAGCTTCCGCTGTGAAGATACTTGTGCCTGGATGTAGAGGGCCAGCATCCGAAAAGGATGGGCCGACAGCAGCGTAGGACACAGAGGAGTTAGACTTGGAGGCATCTGTAAATAACTTGGGACGTGTGTACTTGTGTTGAAGTTCCAGGAAGTATGTTCGGATATGGGCAATGGGCGCGTGTTTTGTAATTTCTCAGAAAGACACATCACATTCTATGGTCTGCCACTGCCAAGGAGGCGGGTATGCTACAGGGGCCATTAAACTGTGTTCAAGTGACACTCCAGTTTCCTGTGTTCAAGTGACATTCCAGTTTCCTCAGCTAGACCCTTCAGGCGAACTGAAAAGGGCTGCCTGATTGAAGGCCTGTTTTGAAACAGAATGGAGCTCGACAAATCATTAATAGTAGAGCATGAGAGGTGCTTCTTGTCTGCTTTCACCTTAAGGAAATAAACAAAGGACATGTAAGTTCTCTGCAAATGAAGCGACCACTCATTTGACTCAACGCAAAGGCTTTCTACAGGGCTGGTGCGAAAAGCACCCGTAGAAAGGCGGATGCCCAAATGGTGCACAGGGTCCAGCATCTTCAAAGCACTTTGAGTCTCAGACTGATAAACAACGG